TTCATTTTCCTCTGGTGAGGCAATGAAATGACAACATTTTGGCCTTGTGAAGCGTTCGCTCACTATCTCGAACTAAATAAGTCAACAGTGATTTAGTTGCACAACTTATAAAATAGCACATGGCGGTTCGTTTAACCCCACCTGCCGATGCCACGGCCCAAACTGCGATCGAAAAGCTCGCCTGAAAGTTCCAGACCCATACCGGAGCACACCGGACCAAAAATAACCAGACCCAGCGATGGAAATCCCCTAAAAGTGGTTCTTTATGGACGGCCTGGTGAAAATGTGACACATGCACACCGCAGAGGTCCAGTTAAAGTACCCAGAGGTTCCGATAGTGGAAACAGGTCTGTTATGGTTGCTGCAGCAGGCTATGAAGGTCAGTTTCTTCTCCTGCATCAGCACAGCTTCTGCTTCTCCCAGTGTGGTTTTCCTCCATCAGTCTGCAGCGGGGAACTCCGCCCACAAAGTCCTGCTCGTTTGCGTTAACTGAAGTAAACGTAACTTGCTCCCGTGGGAATGACTTTAAACGTGGTGGTGGATGCACTCTAAAACATCCCGGTGACATTTAGAGCCCGTTTTTCAGGCTGCTGCTCTAATCTGCTCTGGAGCCTCTTTACTTTCCGCTCCAAAGACGTCGGAGATGATTACTCAGCTGACTTTTCTCTGCTGGCTTCTTGCCTAGAACAGTAAATGGACATGAATATGAAGATGGGGAGAGGCTCTTTTTTAACGTTATCCCTTCGCCTCACTCCTCAGTAGCCAACAGGCCCGTGTCTCATTTGGCTGCTCGACTAACGGACCACCACCGGTGGGTTTTAGTGGCTCAGAACGGATTTTATGTTGACGTGCAAAGATTAGACCGTTTTGATGAGTTCAGGAGTGCAAAGCTTTGATTTAGTGCTGCTTTTGTAAATCTTAGGTGATGTGTGTGTTGGGTGGATGTGAGTGAGTTGTTGGTTCAGAGCAACAGATGGGCCTCAGCTGGATGTGGACATGATGATGATGATTCTAGTTGCTGTTCCTGAAGCATCGTCCTCCTGTGCCTCCTCCATGTAGCTGTCACTGTAACCAGGCCTTTGCCCTCTGGCCACCATGTTTTATTGAATGCAATAACTGGGCCGAAGTATCAAGTGCCCCTTTGTCCTCGGCTTGGGCAGCTCACCAAGTCTTTATGTAACTTCAGCTAACAAGAGGCATCATTTTAATGCTAACACACGGCTGAAACCTCAGCTGCTTGGACCGTGTCAGGAATCGTTATCTCAAAAAATCTGCACGCATCATTTGGCGTGTTTTTGTTCCCCGGCTAACAAAAGCTCAACGTTTAGCTGGAAGCGTTAGAGAAGCAGAACGTACGTAAGATCTGGACCTGGTGCTGGTAAAAGATTTCTGCATAAATCTTTGTTGAAATGTTGCTTTCTGTTCAAAAGCTTCATGTATCTGAGTATCAGTAATCCTAGGAGTATGAGTACAGCTCATCATCATAATAATAAACATAAACAGCAGAAAAAATAAGGACCCAAACTTCTGAATGGCTTTGAAATGAAAATCCTGATGGATGTAACCATTCCCATCTTTTTTACCTGCTTCTGCACATAAAAGCATGGCTTTTCCAGGTGAGCTGGCAGCATTCGGCTGTTCCCGTTCACAGGAGGATAATGTTCAGTCAGAGAACCTGATCGGTGGTGGGGACATGATCTTTTTTGTTACGACTGTTTAATCCAACAAAAACATTTAATATTTGGAGAGTTCAGATCTTACACGAGAAAACAGCTCCAGCGTCGCAGAAACATCGGTGCTTCTTTTAACGTTTCTACTTTCTCTTCTTCCAGACTTTAGCTGCTGATTCAGCCTGGCTCCAGCGACCTAGACACCACCCTTTTGGAGCCACCAGAGGGCGCCAAACAGTCAAGTTTGTCCTCACCCTGAACTCTTCACCCCAGGCAAGCTGTCCCACTCTGCTTCCTCTCCTTGCTCATCTCTCACTGCTCATCTTTCTCCTCCCTCCTGGCACCCACGGGACCATCTGGACTCCCAGTCAGCCCTCTCCCTCCATGAGGGACACCGGGAGGCTGCGGGGGCCGTGGATGTGGACCCCGAGCCTCTCAGCAAACTGGGAGAACAGTCCCAGCACGATGTGTCCACTTTAACCGGTAGGTTCTCCTTCTCTAAGGAATAATCTGGAAGGGAGCACCTGAATTACCAGCAGAGGGCAGTGTAGCACCACAGGTGACCTGTGCTGGCTGAAATGGATTTCTCTCACTGATGAATGACATGAAGGTGTCCTGTGTTTAGATCTTTGCTCAGACCTTCCAGAGCTGGAGATTGTGAGTCTCCTGTCAGAAAGTCGACCCAACTACACCCTTCGAGCGGACAGCGTGTTTGGATATGACACTGACGACTGGCTGCACACCCCCCTGCTGCCACCAGCGGCCGTTCTGGGACTCACACACCAGCAGATCGAAGAAACTTTCAAGTACTTCTGTGAGTTGAGCCGTTTTCTACCGACCCTTCAGCCTAATCAACGGCAGGCGCTGTGGAAACACGTTAAACATTTCAGGACTGAATCTTGTTTGAATTCCTGCCTTTTATATGAATGTCTTCCAGAATACGTGGTAAATTCATTTTACAGTTTTAGGGGTCAGAAAGTCGTTGGGAACGGTTGGCAACACCGCCCAGTGTGTGTCAACCTCAGCAGCTCAGATCGAAACAGACAGGAAGCCCAAAAAAAAACGGGTAAAACATCCAGAAACTCTAAATAAAAGACGTGCAGCTTGACTAGTAAAACAAAATACATCATTTCCTGTGAGACCTCCATAGTGGTAGCTTTTATTTCTTCTTGTACACTCCTGCTACGTCTGTCTCTATTAGCGGTGTGTTTACCGTCCTTCCTACAGCCACCATGTCCTGAACACAGCTCTGGATCGTGTGTGTGAAGCGTTTACTCTCATGAAGCACACAGACGCTGCTGCCGCTGCTCAGCTGCAGCGTCTTCCTCACTGGACGAGTGAATATTCCATCAGAGGGTGAATATTACTCCTCAGAGTCAGACGTTACCAGACTGAGCTTGTTAACGATGAACAGCCCTGTCAGCAGCAAGTTTCTCCTCTAATATATGTTAAAGAGCAAACAGCAGGTTAGAGGCTCCCATGAACCAATGTTTAGAGAAACTTGCTTTAAAAGTTTTTTACACAAACATCAATTTATTTAGGCTTTTCGAGTCATTTTTGTAAGAAAGTTAATTTTTTTGCCAAACCAAGTGACGTCAGCTGAGGGAGTCCTGTCAGCTTAACCCAGAACTCTAAGGGCGCTCTGACACAGATGTTTGTAATTCTACTTCTGATGGACGAGAACCATGAAGTTATGAGTTTGCTGCTCGCCCCAGAGAGCAGAGACCAACCAGAGGGAGAAACGGGGGAGCAGCAGGTGAGTTAACTTGTGTGCTAGCATCACAATATAGTACAGATTACTATCGTGTACCAGACAGTTAAAAGTAGTATAGGTCAGTTAATATGATATTAATATTAATGAGCGTCTGTCAGTGGTCTCATACTCGTTAATATCCGTTCAGTAACCTAGTTTAGCTGAGAGAGAGGGAGATCTGGTCATCTGGTTCTGGAGCTCATGTGGGCTTCTGTGAGCTGGATCCGACCCAGACACCAGCGAGCCGGTCCAGCTGATACGACCTCTCTACCCTAAAACTAGCCACTCTCCACACCGACCCGAGGCAGCCTGGCCTCCAACTCCCTTTGGTTACGTCAGAGTTCACATTTAGAAACAAGAGAAAGGAACTTTTTACTAGAAAACTCTTTAAAACCCCAAACATCCACAATAAGCTTTTATTCACACACACACACACACACACACACGCACACACACACGCACGCACGCACACACACATACGTCAGGTGTCATCAAAGCCAGTTACCTGACAGTGCCTCCATGTTTTAAGCTGTTAATGCTGAGGGTCAGCAAGTTGCCAATGCCAGCGGCAGCTGTGACATCATGATGACATCGTTAGCATGGCAATCGCTGCAGAAACACCTCAGGAGTTTATATTTAGACCCAAAGGTTGTCTCGAAGTAGAGGTTCTGTACTGCTGCTCCTCATATGTTATACAAGTAAAAATGTGGAGATGATGTCACATCCTGTCCTGGACCCCCCCCACCCCGATTTCTTTGCCTTCAGTGTTCTGTGTAGAAGTCAGTAGTAAGATAATAACTGGTGGCTTACATGACTATTACAGTTTAACCTGCGTGTGATACTGGCTCGTGTCTCTGTAATCCCACATGGAGCTGGAACAGAGACGGGGACGGGGACGGGGACAGACTAAGCCGTCCACACAGCCAGGAAGCATATGGTGTTTATCACTTCTCCTGCTGGTCTGTCTCCAGCTCTCCTCCTCATGTAAGCTACACAGTGAGGTACCCCCCCCCCCCCCCACACACACATGTGTAAGGTAGATTTGAGTGAGTTTCTGGTGCTCCTTGTGAAGATGGGACCTGAATCTTGGTCCTGAAACACGCTCCCCAACATTCCGACTTGGGAAAGGTTTGATTTTGTTTTATTGCTTTATTGTTGCAAAGAACTTAAAAGGAAACGAGCAGCAGAATCCTGTAGTTCATGTACCATCCATACAGCACAGTATCTCAATCCAAAATGACTTCCTATCTCTGGCTCCTTCAAAGGCAGTTCGAAATTTGGGTGTTGTGATTGATGAACACCTGACCTTTAAAGATCATGTTACCTCTGTTGCTCGTTCAGGCTGCTTTGCGCTGTATAACATACGAAAGATCAGACCATACCTAACACAACATGCCACCCAGCTCCTGGTGCAAGCTACTGTCATCTCCCGCCTCGACTACTGCAATGCCCTTCTAACTGGTCTTCCAGCCTGTACTGTGAGACCTCTTCAAATGGTCCAGAATGCAGCGGCGCGTCTGGTCTTCAATCAGCTAAAAAGAGCACACGTCACCCTTCTGTTCATTGAGCTCCACTGGCTACCGCTAGCAGCACGCATCAAATTCAAATTGCTAACACTAGCATACAAAGTCCGAGATGGTACAACTCCCATCTACCTGAATCCTCTTGCAAAGGCTTACGTCTCGGTCTGACCGCTCCGGTCATCACAGGATCGTCGGCTAGCAGTGCCTACACCACGCTCAGGACAATCCAGACTCTTCTCATGCATCGTTCCACAAATGTGGAATGACCTACCAAGCACTACCAGAACAGGGGCTTCCTTTTCAATTTTCAAGAAACTCCTGAAGACTCTGCTCTTCAGAGAGCATCTTCTAAACTAGCACCCTCCCTGCACCCGTCCCCCCTCTCTGTCCACTCCTTGTTCCCTACTCTCCATGATTGATGTCAAGTTGTTGTTGTTGTTGTTGTTAGCCTCAAGGGCAACATGCCGATTATCACTTGTAAGTCGCTTTGGACAAAAGCGTCTGCTAAATACATAAACATAGTTGAAATCTCCGCTCCAGAGGATTCAGGAGGAGTCTCCTTTTGCTTTTCCTTTAATCTTCTGACTGAAAGTAATCAGTTACTCAAATCTGATGCAAACAAGACTCTTCTGGTAGTTTTGTCCTGAACAAGGAAGCAAACAACATCCCTGGGCTTCCTCTTCTTTTTTCCATGAAATCCGTAAAAACCCTGGGATTGGATCTGTTATTTATTGGATGCAGGTGATTGTTTCTAGTTTTGGTCAAAGTCCTCGGACCATCACTTCCTTCTATTTCTTGTTGGTCACTAACTGAGAACTTCAGGTTGGAGGAATTTTCTCCTGCAGCCACCAGTAAACAGGGAGGCATGAAGTGGTGAAAGTGGCGTGGTGGCGGCAGCGGTGAAGCGAGACGGCTTGTTGTTTAAAGTTTAATGAGGAGGTTAATATTTGATTGGAAGCTCCTGGGTCTGATTGATGAGTGCTCTGGTGAATCAGAGAAAGCTAACTTTTACTAACCAAGCAAAATCCACCTCCAGATGTCCTGAAGCCCCTGGCTGCCTCCATCAGAACCCTGTGGGTGTGTCTCTTTCTGCACCAGTATCATGCAGAGCTGCTGTTACGTATGTGGGCATCAGCGGGACGTACCATCTCCTACACTCACAGGGGTGGGCATGCTTTGTGCTGCATCCTTTTATTCTCCATCCCACTCTGAATCATCCCTCCAGTTTAATCGGACTGGTTTTTTGTGACTGTAGAAAGACAGAAGAACATCCTCTAGTCTGCTTCACGGTTCAGGTCTGTCCTTCACCCCCCCCCTCCTCTTCTTCATCTTCTGTTCTTGATTGGTAGGCCAACGTGGCCAGGTGAACGGAGGCAGGCGTGACGACAGATGGTCCCGTACAGTCAGAGGGATTATATATTATCACCCAGCAGCTCAGACGAGCGGTTTGTTGTCCTCACACACGGCAGGAATCATGCTAGAGAGACAAAACTCAGCTAACACGCAGCAGATCGAGTCTAAAGAAGGACTTGGCTCATAGAAGAGAGGACAGAGGGCAGGCTTTCTTCAGTTACCATGGAGGTGTGGAGCTCCTCGGTGTCCGAGGAGGAGGAAGACGAGAGGAGCACCTTGAGTCTGGGGGATGAAATAGTGGAGGAGGACCTAAAACGCCACAACAGCAATAACAATAATAACAACAACGAAAGCCTCTGCAAGGAGGTGACACAAGGTGAGAAGCAGGAGTGTGTGTGGGGTGGGGTGGGGGGGTTAATGATGTGCAGAGCTGAAGGCCACTGCAGAAAAAAAGAGTTTTGTGTTAAAAATGGACCAAATCCGATGTTACTGCCAGTTCACTTCTGCCGGCTGCCTAGGATTTGGTTATCTAAGAGCTTTAATAGCTGAACAGCTGGAATTATGTCATAGACGATGCATCACGTACCTGAACGTCTGAAAGACTGTTCTCAATCTGGTGCCTCAGCACATTTCAGGTTATTCATCCATCCATCAATTCTCTTCCGCTTATCTGGAGTCGGGTCACGGGACAGCAGCGATAGCAGAGAGGCCCAGACTTCCCTCCTCCCTGAACTGGAGAAGCCACTCTTCCCTTTTCCCACTGTGTGTGTGTGTGTGTGTGTGTGTGTGTGTGTGTGTGTGTGTGTGTGTGCGTGCATGTGTGAGTGTGATTGTGTGTGAGTGTGTGTGTGTGTGTTTGTGCGTGTGTGTGCGCGCGCGTGTGTGTGTGTGTGTGTGAGTGAGTGAGTGCGTGTGTGCATGTGTGTGCGTGTGATTGTGATTGTGATTGTGTGAGCGTGTGTGCGTGTGATTGTGTGAGTGTGTGTGTGTGTGTGTGTATGTGATTGTGTGAGTGTGCGTGCGTGTGATTGTGTGTGTGTGTGTGTGTGTGTGTGTGTGTGTGTGTGTGTGTATGTGATTGTGTGAGTGTGCGTGCGTGTGTGTGTGTGTGTGTGTATGTGATTGTGTGAGTGTGCGTGCGTGTGATTGTGTGTGCGTGTGTGTGTGTGTGTGTGATTGTGTGAGTGTGTGTGTGTGATTGTGTGAGTGTGTGTGTGTGAGTGTGTGTGTGTGTGTGATTGTGATTGTGTGAGTGTGAGCGTGCGTACGTGTGTGCGTGTGAGTGTGTGTGTGTGTGTATGTGATTGTGTGAGTGTGTGTGTGTGTGTGATTGTGTGAGTGTGAGTGTGTGTGTGTGTGTATGTGATTGTGTGAGTGTGCGTGCGTGTGATTGTGTGTGAGTGTGTGTGTGATTGTGTGAGTGTGTGTGTGTGAGTGTGTGTGTGTGTGTATGTGATTGTGTGCATGTGTGTGCGTGTGAGTGTGTGTGTGTGTGAGTGTGTGTGTGTGTGTATGTGATTGTGTGAGTGTGCGTGCGTGCGTGTGATTGTGTGAGTGTGTGTGTGTGTGTGTGCGTGTGATTGTGTGTGTGTGTGTGTGTGTGTGTGTGTGATTGTGATTGTGTGAGCGTGTGTGTGCGTGCGTGTGTGATTGTGTGAGTGTGTGTGTGTGCGTGCGTGTGTGTGAGTGTGTGTGTGTGTGTGTGTGCATGTGTGCGTGCATGCGTGTGTGTGAGTGTGTGATTGTGTGAGTGTGTGTGTGTGTGTAAGTGTGTGTGCGTGAGAAAGATGCAGGATCAGCATTAGATAGGACCACCTCTGTTCCTGGTTCTCTCAGTTTGTTTTAATTGGATTTATTTATTTATTTATTGTTGCTCCTCTCTGAATTTTCTTCGTTTGTGTTTTTATGAGTATTTGGTGTTTTTTTAGTTCTCTTGGCGACATTTTCTGCGATACGGCCATCTAAACAAACACTCTAACCATAAAGCAAGGTCACTTTATCTGCATTCTGAGGTTCTTATGGGACTGTTTTCAGTGCATTTTGAACATCTTTAGTTTTGAGCCGTGCAGGGTTATACCGACTACATCCAGTTGATGCTGTTGCCTCTATTGTTGACTGGTGACCGTCACTCACAACCTAACAAACACCAGGACAGAAAAGCCAACAGAGCTTTGGAGAACAAAGTAGTGCCAGTGTAAATCTTATTCTTGGAAGGTCATCCTCCTTGTCTGATCCCCTTAATAAACCAGACGTCATAAGTACATCTAATTCAACCAGGTTTATCCACAGGAAGAGTATTAGGGGAACCATTTGTGTACCTTCAGGGATTTAGCTCTAGTTACTTGGGGAGCAGAAGCCTTTTTCTGACCTGTTCTACACTCTGGCAGGAAACAGGTCATGAGCAGGGGCGGATCTACTGGTTTGGTGGATGGTGGCTTCCATCCATAAAAGTTATTAACAGAATTGGTGACAAAGGGCAGCCTTGGCATAGTCCAATTGTCACCGGAAACAAGCTCAACTTACTGCCGGCAATGTGGACCAAGCTCTGACACAGGCCATGTAGGGACCTAACAACCCGTATTAAAGGGCCTGGTACCCCATTCTCGCGGAGTACCCCCCACAGGGTCCATCGGAGGATGAGGTGTAACGCCTTCTCCAAATCCACAAAACACATGTAGACTGGTTGGGCGAACTCCCACGCACCCTCCAGAACCCCCTAAGGGTCTAGAGCTGGTCCAGTGTTCCACGGCCAGGACGAAAACCACATTGCTCCTTCTGAATTCGAGGTTCGACAGTCCGACAAACCCTCTTCTCCAGAACCCCTGAATAGACCTTACCAGGGAGGCTCAGAAGTGTGATCCCCCTGTAGAAGGAACATACTCTGTGGTCCACATTTTTAAATAGGGGGACCACCACCCCGGTCTGCCAGTCCCCTCTAATCCTCTCTTTTTAAAAAATAAAGTCATTAAAATGAAAAATTTACTTTACTGGAAGGCCAGTTTAAATCTATCACCGATCCGTGTTCACAGGCTGTTTGTAAGAAGAGAGTTCTAAGTTCAGAACCAGAGTTAAAGAGTTGGGCACTATACAGCTGTAGTTTATGGCATCACACGGACTTAAACATGGAAACTAAGGTTTCTGGGTCATTAAGCATATTTAAAAAAAATTAACACTTTTAATTACTTGCTTTTCAGAATTATACAAGTTAAAGGGAACTAATATTATTAGTTGTAATGGGTGTGAACTTAAGTAGCTTGTTGTGTTTGTTATATATTTACTTTAGGTTGTTTTTTTGGTAGACTTTTTCTTTTACTCTTTATCTTAGAAAAGGGACAAAAATGAATAAGAGTTTCTCTTCTATCTGCTCCCTTTCATTCTTTTATTAGACAGAATTTTTATGTTTTCTTATGTTGTGTTGTGCAGTTGGCCTCGAGGGTGGGTTTCCACAGACCCGTTGAGTTTGCAATGAAGGCTCTCAGAGTCCTGTTGATGTTGTACATCTCCAAGCATTCATGATCTATGAGTGCGACATTGAGTCGAGGGCTTTCTTGTAAACAGTCCAGGCCGTACATAGGTTGGTGTGTCGGGCTTTGCAGTCTCGGGCCACCGTTCCCTTGAGACTGTTCCCTAGGAAGGGTCCTTCATGTTCAGGATTGTGCCTCCAGTTAATCATTTAGGGCGAGTCCCATCCTTTAGCACAGGGGTGGGCAATCCTGGTCCTCAAGGGCCGCTATCCAGCAGGTTTTAGTTGTTTCTCTGCTTAAACACACCTGATTCCTGGATGAAACACCTGTTCAGCAGCTCATCAGGCTCTGCAGCAGCCTGTTAATCACCAGCAGATTCAAACCAAGTGTGTTTAAGCAGAGAAACAACTAAAGTCTGCTGGATAGCGGCCCTTGAGGACCAGGATTGCCCACCCCTGCTTTAGCAGGTGGTTCGTTTGTGCTGCCAGGTGATCATAGAGTGCAGTGAGCTTCTAGAGCCAGAAGGCATGGATCATGTCAGGTCCTGGTGATGTCCAGGTTTTCATACCTGAGACTCTTTCCTGGATGTCTGCCACAGTGATGGATACTGGCTTCTACTCAGGGACGTTGCTGTGGTCCTCTCTTACAGAGGCTAGCCACTTAGCATTGCTGTTGTGTGATACTTCCTTCTCCCAAATGCCTGTCCAGTACTGTTCAGTCTCCAGCCTTGGTGGGACTCCTCTGCTGTTAAAGTACACGTTAGCTGGTTGGGTCGAGAAGTTTCGGTCCATAAACTTTTTATTTAAACTTTTGATCATCATTCTTTCATTTGTCACAAGACTTTTTTTTAGAGGAGTTTTGACTTTAGACTTTCTCACCAGGACATCCCAGAGGATTGGCTCTGCTGCAGCGTTCTTCAGACAAACCCTAACCCTAACTGTCAGCAGTGAAAGATAAAAACGAACCCAGACAGCGGTCATCATTAAGTCTGGTCCGTCTGTCCTTGAATCGACTTTGCTTTGAGCTGCTCCTCTCCCCGTTTTTGTCAAGGAAACCCCATGAATCCCTGAGATGTGATGCAATTTACCATGGAGACTTGATCTGAATAGCTGGGCACCATAAGGTCAGTTGGATACCAGCACCAGCGATCAGACCACTTTGTTTCCACCCTGGTTCTAACTCATCTAATTATTTTACTGCACAGAAATCTTTTAAACTCAGCGTTTACACGAGAAAAGGGAACTGGTTCTGTAACCGACCCCGAGTCACTTTTACTGAACATATGTCTTCGGTTTGTTTCACATCCATGGTGCAATTGGGCCAATTACTCAGAAACAGTCATTTGTATTTCTCTTTTGCTGTAGTTCGTGGAAAACCAAATCATAAAAACTGCATGAAAATAGAAAAAATGCTGGAAGTGCTGCAGGGGTGTAAGAAATTTTATCTGGTGTTCTTCAGCCAAGGGATCCCCATGAGTGTTGGGCAAAAGGAGGTCTGAGGCAAAATTAACAAGCCTTTATTGGTGTAAGTAAGTAAATTTTATTTCTAAAAGCACTCGTCACAGACATAGAATCACAAAGTGGTTCACATAGATCACAACAAAATAAAATAAAATCATAAATAGATTAACATCAGAAAAAATAAAGTAATAAAATTATTAATTTTCATGAACAGATGAAAAATTATAACTTTTGAGTTAAAAATAAGAAAATAAAAGGTTTAGGTAAAATAAAAGAGTCTTCTGCTGTTTTTAAAGTGTCCAGACTGTCAATGCTGCATAAGGATGAAGGAAGATCATTCCAGAGTCTGGAAGGAGCGATCACCTCCACTTTTATATTTGGTCTTTGGAACTTCTAGGAGGTTCTGGTGGGTGGACCTGCGGGCTCGGGTTGGAGCAGAAGGCTTTAACAGTTCAGTAATATAGGGAGGAGCCTGGCCATGTAGAGCCCTGAAGGTTCTAGTCAGGATTGGGTTAACGGGTAACCAGTGCAGAGACAGCAGAATAGGAGTGATGTGAGCTCTTCTGTTTGTTCCGGTTAGGAGTCTCGCTGCAGAGTTCTGGACCAACTGAAGGAGGTCAAGGGCTTTTTTGTTAAAACATGTGAAGAGTGTGTTACAGTAATCTAGACGGGAAGAGATAAAGGCATGGAGAACCATTTCAGGTTCATGTTTGGACACCAACCACATAACCAACCAAATTCACTTGCGAAACGCGCCGGCATTGATGTTTTTAACTATTTAAGTCATGCACCAATAAAGGCTTTTTAATTTTGCATCTCCTGAGTGCCTCAGATCTCCTTTTGCCCAACAATAAAAACTGCTTATTAGAATTAGAGCTGCAGCGGGTCAACGGGGCTAAAAAAGCTCTTTTTTAAAATCCGCTGACCACGGATTTCATATATGATGTCCGTGAATTTTAAACACGCATTTTGATGCCAAAAAATGCTTATTTTTGAACGGGAGCAATGTCAAATTTGGTTTTGTGTGAAAATAAGTCCAGGAATACAAATGCGTATCACCAAAGGGACGTTATCAAACCAAACACGGAGAAAAACAGGGAAATGGCTGCAAGTTCAGCGAACTTCAAATCCTTCCTTCAGGAGGAAAGAAGCACCATAAATCTGGTCGTGTGGTGAGTAGCAGCTACGCTATGGGGAGGAGACTCTGTGGTGACGTCACATATACCACATGCAGACATCTGATTTGTAGTCATGCTGATTATGAACTTTTGCCTCCATCTTTTTGAACACCTCCATGCTGGATTAGTTTACTATATGCGTGCACTGCATTGGTCCAAAACAGTCACGTGGGAGCTGCTCCACTACTTTCTCATCACGCTCGAAACAAACGATTCCTGAATTTAAACATCGATCGTAATAAACAGCGTTATTAAAGGGAAAACACTTTTAATCGGTACGAATTTACGATTTTTATGAAGCTAACAGCAACTAGCCACAAGAGGGCGCAGCGAGATTAACAGATAATGGGGTTCACCTGTCGGCCTGTTTCGGCCATGTTGGTTTGTCCCAACAATGAAAAAGCACTTTTTGGTGGGTGATTTTTCAGAGCATCCCCAATTAGACTAGAACAGACTATTGATCCCACGGGGGGAAATCCACTTGTTAAGGCAGCACATGCAGGTAAACATACAAAGGCAGAGCTGTTGTTATTGTGCACCAATAATTCAACTACAGACAATTTGTCACACTAACAACAAAAAACTGGAACAAACAGAGCCTCCAGCTACCATAAAAGTTCAGGTAGTTTCCTCTGGGATGCGTTTCCTGTGCTCATGAGCATCTTGGCAGGCCGAGATGGGAACCAATTCCAGGTCAGCCTCTGGTTTCCGGGTTCTTCCTGCTGCTATTTCAGTGTCCAGTGGAGCGATGTCTTTATTGACATCTTCTCTGGGCTTAAACGGATCAAGCTAAGAGGATTCTGTTGGAGCTGTTCTCTGTAGCTAATGGAACGTTAGCTAACGAGACTTTAGAACAGCAATGAGCTGAAGTGGAGGTCATCAGCCTTTTAGCAGCTTGTTATTTCTTTGACTGTTCTGCCTCTCTTGCTCCGTCCTCAGTGCTGTGCTCCGACAGAGTGGGCCAGGTCACCAAAACGTACCATGACATTAAGGCGGTCACCCACCTGCTGGAAGAGGTACGGCAAGCGGGATTAAAGGGGATTAAACTTGTGCCTCACTGACCTTCACTGTCTGTCGCTCTCTTCTGAGGAAATGAACTCGGGCAAAATGTTGTTTTGTGATTCTGCAACAGAAATGTTTGTTTTTGCAGAAAGAGCGAGATCTGGAGTTAGCGGCTCGAATCGGTCAGTCTCTCCTGAAGCAGAACCAAGAGCTAACGACGAGGAATGATTCGCTGGACCAGCAACTAGAAGCAGTGAAGGAGGAGGTGCAGAAAGTCCTCGAGAAAGAACTCAAAGCATCAGAACAAAAACGTTTTGGCGTGTGAATAAATAACGTTTCAAACATGTTTCATAGATCGCTCAACTTCGTCATGAGCTCTCCATGCGAGACGACCTCCTGCAGTTCTACGCCAGCACAGAGGAGCTCGAGAACGCTCAGGCACTCTCACCGTGAGTTTACACACACACACACACACTCACACACACACACACACACACACACACGCACGCACGCACGCACGCACGCGCACACACGCACACGCATTCACACATACACACGCACACTCACTCACACATACACACACACACACGCACGCACGCACACACGCACACGCACTCACACATACACACACACGCACACGCACTCACACACGCACACGCACACTCACTCACACATACACACACGCACACGCACACTCACTCACACATACACACACGCACACGCACACTCACTCACACATACACACACGCACACGCACTCACACATACACACACGCACACGCACTCACACATACACACACGCACACGCACTCACACACACATACACACACACGCACTCACACATACATACACACACACGCACTCACACACACATACACACACACACGCACTCACACATACACACACACACGCACTTACACATACACACACACGCACTCACACACACATACACACACACACGCACTCACACATACACACACACACGCACTTACACATACACACACACACACGCACTCACACACATACACACTGTTTCCTCTTTTGAATGAATTCAGTCTGAAAACTTTTTTCTTATTAGAAAAATAATTTTTCCACATTTGAACCTGACAACATTTTGTTTCCTTGATGCAGACTCAAGAGAAACGAATCCACCAGTTCGCTCGGCGGTTTCGTCCATTATGACTTCCTGCATCAGAAGCTGAAGAGTTTAGAGGAGGAGAATCGCAAACTGAGACTGGAGGTACGCAGAAACGAGCGTGTGCAGCGAGCTGAGTAGAAAACGCAGCTTTATAAATGAATTAGAGACTCTTCCCAAACCGTTGGTGATGCTTCCTCTGCAGGCCAGTGAGCTCTCCACAGAGACGAGCAGCTACGAAGAGCAGGAGCAGGAGCTCATGATGGTGTGTGTGGAGGAGCTCTGTAAGTGTCTGCATCCTCTTCAGTAGAAGAACAGAACCGTATCAGGAGAACTGGAGTTGTCATTATGAAACTTGTGTGTTTCAGCGTCTGCAAACAAGCGGGTGGCGGATCTGTCTGACGAGTTGGCACGAAAGGTGGAGGACACTTTGAGACAGCAGGAGGAGATCAGCTCGCTGCTCGCTCAGATCGTTGATCTGCAGGCTCGCTGCAAAGAGGTGAGAGGTCACGGCGAGCACTGGCACACGTGAAACACGAGTCCCAGAGGAAGCCTTCATGCTAGCTGGAGCTTCTGTCTCTACCAGTTTCTTACTTAAGCCGTTTCTTCTAGCTTTCCCATGAGAACGAGGAGTTGGGCCAACACCTGAGTTTCTCCAGAGAAAAGGAACTGAAACTCAAATCACAGGTGAGTGAATCCCAGGTGTGTTGCTTCATAAACGTCTGAACTGCTAAAGGACTTTGTCTTCATGTGCACAGCTGAAGGACTTGCAGGACAAGTACTCTGAATGTGAGGACATGCTCCACGAGGCACAACAGGACATTAAAAACCTGCGAAACAAGAGTCTGCCCAACAGCACGGTGCAGAGATACACCGCGCTGGCCTCCGTCCTCCCCATGGACTCGCTGGCAGCGGAGATCGAAGGAACCTTTCGTAAAGGCCTGGACTCCCCGACTCCCTCAGAGTACAAGTGAGTCAACAAACATGCTGCTGCTCGGTAGCTGGAAGGTTCCTTTGGGCCAGGTGATCCCTCCAGGTCCCTGCTTTCAGCTAGCAGCTCTAGCCATCATCACAGATCGCCGTGATGGTGACATCACTTCCTTTCATCTGCGGACAGCAGAGGACGGTGTCGCCCTCTACTGGCCACGTCCTCCGTGCTGATGTCACGGTCCCAGGAGCGATCCAGTGTGAATACTCTATTGTGTCTGTTCGTGGTCCTGTGGCCACGCCCCCTTACCCCTGTTACTCCTTCTATGTCGTTGTGGTTCTGTGTCTATGACCCGTGTCCCGTCCCAGTCCGTTACGTGGGTTTCTCGCGGGCGGGGGTGTTACGGCTCATTTCTTTATTGTACTTTCTGCTCTCGTGTCTTCGGCTCGTTTCCCTCTCACACTCCTTTGATGTTTGTTGTTCGTGTGTTGGGTTGCTGTCCGGTTTCTCCTGCATGTTTTATGCAGAGTCGGCATGGTATTTCTATACGACTCCACATTATTTACCCGCTGATGTCTTGTGCTTTGGGTGTACTAATCTCTTTCTGACTGCCATGGAAGACCTGCAACAGAAGGCCATAACCACCTCCCCCAGGACTGCAACTATGGAGACGCTTCGTAGACGACATGTTAGAAATCATTCCCAAAGGACCCTTAAGCTTGGTTTATGCTTGACGCATTCACTTTCTGCGCGGTGATGCTGCTCGCGGATGGAACGCGCTTCACAACTCGCAGCGTTTACGGTTCGTGCGGCTCGTCTCTGCGGTGAGCCAATATTCTCCCAAACTGTAGGGGGCAGCATGGAGCTCTACGGCAAGCATCCAACACTACACCATAGTAGAAGTAGAAATTACTGTTTACAACATGGCATTTCAGCATTTTTAACAGCGTTCTCGTCTTTTCCGACAGTGCGAGCTATTTCTCTCCAAGAATCATTAACAACATGTTGATCACGGTGATCTTTGAGAGCTGAATCATACAAATGTCTGTATTTACGAACCTCTGCCGTACTAGTTCTTGCCGGTCCGCCATGTTTTTCCGCGTCCGTCCGCGTGGTTAGAAATTTTCCGAGGTGCGCGTTGCGGAAATTCTGGGCCGTGCGGAGGCGCGGTGGAGGGGCGTTGTTGTTAAAATGACGCAAAATGACGCAACTTTTCCGCGCAGACCTCGCAGACGCGTCAAGCATAAACCAACCTTAACTCGGACAGTACTTGGTACATCAGAAGAACAAGTCATGTATGGTTTTGTTGGTGTGTTGATGTTATGTTCTTTCATAGTTATTATTTTTCCTGTTGTGCCTTTGGTTAGTTAGGGTTAGGGTCCTTTGGGAATGATTTCTAACGTGTCGTCTACGAAGAGTCTCCATAGTTGCAGTCCTGGGGGCAGTGGTTATGGCCTTCTGTTGCAGGTCTTCCATGGCAGTCAGAAGGAAATTAGTACACCCAAAGCACAAGACATCAGCGGGTAAATAATGTGGAGTCGTATAGAAATACCATGCCGACTCTGCATAAAACATGCAGGAGAAACCGGACAGCAACCCAACACACGAACAACAAACATCAAAGGAGTGTGAGAGGGAAACGAGCCGAAGACACGAGAGCAGAAAGTACAATAAAGAAATGAGCCATAACACCCCCGCCCGCGAGAAACCCACGTAACGGACTGGGACGGGACACGGGTCATAGACACAGAACCACAACGACATAGAAGGAGTAACAGAGGTAAGGAGGCGTGGCCACAGGACCAGGAACAGACACGATGGCGTATTCACACTGGATCGCTCCTGGGACCGTGACATCAGCAAGGAGGGCGCGGCCAGTAGAGGGCGACACCGTCCTCTGCTGTCCGCACATGAAAGGAAGTGATGTCACCATCACGGCGATCTGTGATGATGGCTAGAGCTGCTAGCTGAAACATGTCAGGTAAACTGTTTTTCTACTGAACTGCTGAGCACCAGATTTGAAGAAAGGATGGAGTGTTTGAACATAACCATCACAAAGTCTGCCCTCACCTGTTGGCGCTGGGACGGTCGTAAACGCGTGTCAGCCACTAAAGTTTAGCTCATCTTCAGTGAAGCTGTCAGTTTCAGCTGTTTTCTGAGCTTCATCAGTCCCCGTCTTCATCGTTTTCCAACAGAAACCATCCGTGGCGCGTCTTTGAAACGGTCAAAGTGGTGAATAAAGCCGGCAGGATGCGCTCCCAGTGCCATTCACCGGGGCTGCCGGGCTCCAGCCCGGTGTCGGCGTGGTCCAGTTGCACCAGCACCCCCAGAACCAGCTACTATGGCTCTGACAATGCCAGCATCTACCTGGAGGACAAACCCAGCTCCGCTCCGGCTCAGAAAGAGGACAGCAGGTAAGCTAGTCACGTGATCAAGGGTTTTGTTTTCAAGTCAAAAGTAGAACACCTGTTGGCTTGTCTCTCCTGCAGCGTCGGTAGACCCAAACGCCTGGGTCAGCCGGGGACACCTGGAGGCCAGGACCTGGAAGCCGCTCTGCACAGCCTCTCGGCTCGCCAGCAGAACCACTCTTCGGACCGGCCTTTCTTTGACGTGGAGCGGGAACGTAAGCTCTGTGCCTTGGCCACCAACTGTGAGGAAGGCGACGGCTCTAGCGGCTTCCTGACACCTAACGACAGTCTGGCCTCCAGCTCTGCTGCGTCCACAGGCACCAACTACTCCAACGGCAGTTCGCGGCACTCCTGCAGCTCCTCCGGGGGATCCAGGTCCTATCTGCCCGACCGGCTGCAGATCGTCAAACCTCTAGAAGGTAAAACCAGTAGCTCCGGCGGGCTCGTCTAATGCAGACAGACTATCTTCACATACTTTGATGTTATTAATCGTTAGGGTCAGTTACTCTGCACCACTGGCAGCAGCTGGCCAAACCGAACCTGGGAGGGATCCTCCACCCACGTCCTGGAGTCCTAACAAAGGACTTTAAGGAGCTGGAGGTGGACATCCAGCACGTGTACAGCCTGAACGACCTGGAGGAGGATGAACCAGACTTCTCCCAGCTCTCCGGAGCTCACGGACTGGGTAAGACACACGCAGTTCCTTCATCTTCATCATTTCCACCCATTTCACTGGATTCCTTACACGGTTTATATTTGTCAGCTTCTGCTTGTTTGATAGAAAAAGCACAAATGCATCCTCTTGAGCTGCTTCAGTGCTCTGTTTGTGTGCAGATTCCTCTGAATGTGCTTCTTTTCCCTCCACGAACCTGTCTAGTTTCTCCATCAGGTCCAAACCTCCCTCAGACCTGTCCCACTCACACCATCACCACCTGTAGAGCCCTCCGGCCCTCCCCTCTCATCCCCTCCTTCTCCACTAGGTAAGACCTCCCACTCTTAATGACTGCTGTTTGTTTCCCACAGCTCCAACCAAATCCTGCACCATGACTCTATTTTAAATTGAATAAACGTGTTTTTTAATGACCTTAAATGGGCGTCACCCGGCTGCTCTTCCTCTCTTGACCTTTGCTCTTTGCCCTTTCGTTGGTGTCGAGGCTCGTTCTCCAGCTCTAGGAGGAGCCTTCGGGGAAAACTCGTGATGCCTGACGCATGTCAGATATTAAGCTGAAACGTTTAGGAATGAACTGAATTTCTTCAGTTTTGAGTCACAGCTGCAGACTACCTGATGTAAGAGAATATAAACCCTGAAAGGTTGATTTTTTTTACCAGGAACTCACATACCGTAAATCCTCTAATACAGGCCCGGGCCTGTATTTGACTCAAGCTCATCAAGCTCCAGAGCTTTATTGGAAGGAGGACCAGAATTAGAGACAGGCCTCTATTTCTATTTGAGCAAAATGAACTAATGGTTCGCTGGAGTTTTTGACAACTAAAATTGCGCCCACATTTTCAAAGTTAAACACATTTCTTTTAACAACGGTAGTTCCTGCTTCAGCCCTCTCCCCCCCTCCCCCTGCGCAGCGGCCGCAAACTCACTGATGCGCCTGCAGCCTCTCGGAGTTCCTGCTGCTCTAAACATTAAAATAATCATTTCATTTTCTGTTCCTCACTTCTGATTACCTTCAATGGTGTCTGTTTGTTGCAACCAGCAGGTACAAAAACTAACTTGTTTTTATTTGACTATTTTTCTGTCCTGTCTCTGTTTATTATCTTCCTGCATCTCCTCTCAATCCTAAAGAAAAACTGCTACCTGGGTTAATTTATATTCACCTTATGAGTTACCTTTGAACTGCAGTTCTAAAAGATCTACCGACCGCAAAAACAGCCGAGTGCTCGCTGCTAGTCGGCCGCACCAATAAGGTAAAATCACCAGAGGACAAACCAGGTGATGCGCCCTGATCCACAGCAGCGAAAAGCATCAGGCACAAATAAAAGAATAAATAAAACAAAAACATAAAAGGAAATGAGCCGACATGAACGATCGCGTGTTAAATTAGTTTTTGAGGTGGCGACACCTGATTTGATAATGTTACTGTGGCCGTGCTCAGGACGCAGATGTCTGGAGCGCGTCAACGATCAGAACTTTGCATGCACAAGCTGGTTAAGGTTAGGATGGGGGTGAGAGGAATGTTAAATTGCAAGAGGGAAAAGGTCACAATTTGGTTCAATGTCTGTTTTACGGCGGGTGTCAGTACCGACGCTCTGGCACAGCGCGTTGCCTCCCGACGCGCAGGAGCTTGTCACCTGCTGACAGCAGGCTGCTGTCTTTTCCGAGGACTGCATCTTGCTGGTCATTATCACGTGACAGCGACTAGTGGATGACAGGCATAAAAAGTCACTATAGAGCGGTGAAGTCGACTAGTTCATACAACCCCTGCTACTGCTCCCCAGAGTGTTCTGCAGCATAATCAGCATGTTCTCTTTGAACTTGATATCAAATTTTCGCCTCCTCTTCGTCTCCACACGGTTAAAGTTACCCTCGCGGTCTATCACTGGCAAATCAAAAGCGAGACGGATGACAACCGCCCCCGTACTTGCTTGTTATCACATTCCACCCGGCCACAATAAAAAAACGGCCATTATTCACCTCCGCCGACTCCGACACCGGCCAAAATATGATACTCGGCAGTTAATTAAATACAGGCCACTATTAGAGGATTTACGGTAGTTGCTGTGTTTATTTAGGGTCATGCAGCAAACTCCGACTCGCTGCCAGCAGCTTTACCCCTGCCGCTCTGACGGAACAACGAGGTGTCGACAACACCGGGGGGTGTTCTGTCTTCAGTCTGACTTTTAGCATCGCTGTATGTCGTATCATCTGCCCTGAATTGTGATAAATGTCGGGCAACATGGTAGAGGATCCAAGTGCTTGCCTCATAACCGAAGGGTTGCAGGTTTGAGCCCCGCGCAGTCGTTGTGCCCCTCACCCTCACCTGTTGGTGATGGTCGGGGGGACCAGTGGTGTCTGTGTATGGTGCAGCTGTGGCTACGATGTAGCTCATCACCATGGGTGTTGTAAAGAATCTTGGGGACTCCAGAAGGAGCCATAAAACCATCTATATGTATAGTATCGTGTTTCCTGCATCGTGAGATCGATCGTATCACCAGGCTGTTTCCGACCACCGGACTAAAGCAGCTGTTCCAACAACCTCCTGTTGGTTTTCTATAATTAATCCAAACCGTTGATGTCACCACCGTCAGAACATAAACAAGCCCAAATCATGGCACTCCCTCCACCGTGTTGCACTGCTGGAGCATCCATCTGGACCAGTGATGGGATCTCCGGCTCTTTTAAGAGAACTGGTTCTTACGGCTCGGCTCACTAAAATGAACCGGCTCTTTAACGGCTCCTGTCCTCTCATTTTTTAGTTTTTTTAAATTAAATTATCACCATAAATGATGTAAAATGTGTGTGAAATTATTGACCAGTCTAAACTTACATGAAACCAACTCTTTATGAAGGCAGTTTAGGCTTGTTTTATCACCTCTGGTGTCCGTTTAGTAGAATCAAAAGCAATTTTCATGACTGAAATCTCAACGTTAAAATGTCACAGTTGAGTCTTCCTGTTCACCGTGGATCACAATAAACATCCAACCAAAGTTAGTAAAAACACCAATAAGCTGGTCATGTTTCTCAGCAGCGGGCTGCCCGCGGATGTGCCGGACATTAAATGGGCACTACTGAAGAGGAACATCGGTCTGGTTCCGATCCGATAGTTTCTAACGATGACAAATCCTTTCTGATCTGTTTCATTACCTGTAGATGTTTTCATCTTTGACGATGTTCGGAGCCTCTGCTTCTGCCAACGAGGGTTTTTTTTAGGTAAAATGTTCTCGTCTGGACCAGAACGTGTTTTATTTCCACCACTTTGCCAACTCTCGTCCCATCTTCTAAAGGCGACCCACCAAACTAGCCAGCCCTATAGATGGAGGTTCGGGTTGTGACTTATTCTTTGTGTTTTCCAGCCTTCGCGCTTTCAGCCTGCCACCTTGTCAGAGCAGTGAGCACCTGAGCACTTCACCCCCACCCCACCTGCAGCAGTTCGGCCTCATCTCCACCTCCACCTCCACCCTGGGACTCCTGCAGCTGCTGCAGGAACACGGCATCTCAGCCTCGGCCAGTCCACACAACAACCTGCACTACAGCCATGACACGCAACCTTTATGCTCCGTCGTCAAAGATGGAGGCTTGTCCTCAGACAGAAACTCCGAGCGGAGTGTTTTCAGCCTCAACCTGGTAGAGAAGCTGCAGGGCCTCGGGCTCCACAGGGTGGCAGCCTGGGGGATGACTGGCCACAGAGGGAAGGAGCTGGACAGTCCAACATCCTCCTATAGTGTGACAGATTTCTGCTCTCGTCATCCACCACAGTGACTTTGCATGAAGCCATGAGATTCCCTTAGTGTGATTCAGCAGCAGTAGCAGCATCATCAGCATCAGCGGCAGTGGCGGCTGCAGCAGCATCATCAGCATCAGCGGCAGTGGCGGCTGCAGCAGCTTCAGTGGCAGCAGAATCAGCATCAGCGGCAGTGGCGGCTGCAGCAGCATCATCAGCATCAGCGGCAGTGGCGGCTGCAGCATCAGGCATGTCTTCAAGGAAAAAAAGCCACAGAATGTGTTTGAGCCATACTTGACCTGCAGGACGTATGTCCTGCTCTGGAGGTGGTCGTCTGGACGACCACCCGATGACCACTGCTTCATTTTACACGTAGAAACAAAACAAACAGATGTTTTTTATATGGAGTTGTGTGATTTTCCATTTTCCTCCATCGCTGTTTTAAAACCCAGACACGTTTTATTGTGTAAAAGTTATTGTTGGATGTTTAAAGCAGATCACAGACTGAAGCTGAAGAACATCTAAATGCACTAAAACTAAAAGCTTTGTTAAAAACACATTTGAAATGAGGGTCACCGACTCATCCTTCACCTGAGAGCCCCGCCCTCCTTCACCGGGAGCGGTGGAGACGACCTGGGGTTGGCGTTCTGCACCAGAAGCCCTGAGAGGAGTTTCTTTAGAAGCAATAAGTCCCATCTGCTGTATTCAGAGTCGTGTTTGTGATGTTTATTAGTATTTATTAATAAAGACAGATGTAGGTGTGTCTTTCTGAACGGTCAGCTGTAGCGACAGGAGACGGGGGAGTAAAGAGGGACTGGTCCGTCTGTGTGGACATCTCACCAACTGTGAATAAAACCTTTGCATTTTCATCCGGAACGACTTCAAAAGTCTGTTTTTGTATAAAGTCAGGACGCTTTTTTCTGCAAACTTTCTTTATTTATCATGTTTCTGTTTTGTTTACAACAACGTTCCTCATTCTGCGTCCCGCCGTCCAAAGTCCACCCAGCCCTGGTAGTCCCGGTCCGACATGCACTCGGAGTTCATCACCTCTGTGAACAGACCACACATGAACCACCTCAGTTCGGCACGTTCCCAACGCCGACTCGGGAGCAAACGCTTCCCATCAGTCCTACACTGTTCATCATGTGTAATAAGATTATTATAAAGCCACTCAGCAGTCGGAATAAACATCAAACACAGGTAAAACAGGGCGGTTATATAATGTAATTAAGTGTGTTTTAGGTGTGGCCACAGCGTTTGTTAGAGCAGACGAGGAAAGGATCCATCTTTAAGTCATTTAACTGCAGCGAATGAAGAATTATGAACACCAGCAAACTGCTGGGATGTATGTTCTATCAGGGTTAGGTCATAGCCTGGCAAGCCAGACTAACTAAATGTATTATTTAGTCTGGCAACGCTCCATTTTCGGCTCTCGGTTGTGGGGCAGGTTCTACCGTTGTCTTTCAAATGATCTCTGCATTCCACTGGACAATGAATGCATCATCCCACCCACCAGGCATATAGAGTGCCCTGATTGGCCCACAAAGCGAATAAAGCTCTGTGATTTGTTCACTAAGCAGATAGAGCACTATGATTGGCCCACCATTATGGACCAATCACAGCTCTTTATGTGTTTGAAACCCCTCTAGAGAGTGCTGTTGGGGCTGCAGACGTTCCAGTGGAGCATTCCTAGACCAAACGTTGCAAAGCAAGAATTTGGTCTAGTTCACTCGGCTAGGTTAGGTCACAAATGAACAAAGACTTACTGATGTTATCCTGCAAGTTCATAAATGATCTTGGAGACATGAAATGTAACTTTCTATTTCAGCATTTCTTTAATCAAATTCTATTTTAAATGTTTTTTATTTATTTTATTTGATCTTATTTCATTTTGTTTATTCTTTGATCAAACTGCAGCGGATTGCTTCTGTAGAAATACAGAAAAAGTCATTTGTGTAAAAGAATGAAGCGTCTGAAACAGTTAAAGAGCAAACCTTTTAAAACTTATTGAACTGATTAAATTATATTTATTTTCCATTGTTAACTGAAAAGTTTCAGGTTTTATTTGCAAATCCTTTTAGTCTATTTTCTCTCTAGTCTGACGTGTATTCTGGAGTCTGTGTAGACATGGATAACAAAGATCTTTGCAAAAGCACACGTGCTTATTTAAAAGGAAACGCCGAGCTGCGTACCTGAAAGGGCCTGCACGATTTGTTTGGTCATCATCTCCCGTTGGTCCTCAGACAGATGCGCTCGTCTCTCACTCCGAGCTCCGGCCTTCATCTGGGCCAGAAGTTTCTGCAGAACGTTTGTTTGTCTCACCTCTCCAGCTGCAGTCGTCTCAGGTGAGCAGACTGCATCAGATACAATCAGCAGCAGCAGCACAAATATAACTCTGCCTGACATTTCTGCACAAAAAAGACTAAATTAGTTGGACTCGGGTGTGAAAATGAGCAGAAAAGTCTAAAAGCTGCAGCACCGGCGAGGACACGGCGACAGACGAGTGATGCTTCAGGTGTGAATGAAGACTTTTATACTAAAGTATCCCAATGGAAAAAGCTCCAAATCAAAGACTGCTAATGGATTTGCACTCAGGCGCTTTGGGAGGAGGCGGGGACAGGAAGTACCAGCGGGGACAGGAAGTACCAGCGTCTGCACAAGTCAGCGTTTCACCTTTCCTGTAATAACAGTAAAATCAGTCAATGTGTTTAAAGAAGAAATCCAATAATCCTTTAGAGAACACATCCACCGTTACCGTGGAGACGGGATGCAGAGGCTAATAAACAAGGTGATGGGAGTTTACACTACTTCTTCCCAGTCCTTTTCAAGCATGTGGCGTAGCAGAGGAGATCTTTTCTAGAGCGCCTCTGAAGACCACGAGGTGTTCACAAGAAAAAATATTAAAAATGATGTCGTGATAAAAATGGGGGAAAATGAAAAATTTACATAAAAATGTGAAGAAAAACAAAAATCAATAAAAAAGGCTGATCACAGGATGCTGAGAAAGGCAGAACAAGGAGAGGGTGATGAAGGTCCCACCAAACCTGAACAGGTGAGTTTAAAGAAGACCACTGAGTCCTCTGGTCTCAGGCTCGGGGGGAGAGAGGTCCAGAGTCTGGGGGCCACAGCAGCAGATGATCTGTCACCTTTGACCTTTAGCCTGGTGCTGCACAACCAGTAGGCTTTGGTCACTGGACCTCAGGGACCTGCTGGGGGTGTAGGGACTGAGAAGATCACCAATGTAAGATGGTGCTTGTCCATGTAAGGCCCTATAGACCAGAACCAGGATCTTGAAATGAACCCTGAAGTTGACTGGCAGCCAGTGAAGCTGGAGGAGAAGCGGGGTGATGTGGGTGTGTTTGGAGGACTTGGTCAGAAGCCGAGCACAGGCATTCTGAACCACCTGTAGACGGTTCAGGGAGGTTCTGCTCAGACACGTGAAAAGAGAGTTACAGTAGTCTAAGCGTGAGGAGATGAAGGTGTGGAGAACTGTCTCAAGTTCAGAGCGAGACAGAATGAGACTTAGCTTAGCAATGTTCCTGAGCTGGAAGAAGGAAGAGCCAACAAGAGAACTGACATGAGAATCCAGGGTGAGAGCTGGGTCAAAGGTCACGCCAAGTAGGCGGTGACACAAAGATGCTGCTTCAGTTACGTACGGTGCTGCTGAAGAACGGTCAAATACAAACACGGCTTCAGGCCTCATTTGTTGTTTTAATCTTTGGTCTTTCATTTCAGATGCTTTTAGTGAAAACGCTTTCGGGATTCTCGGCTGAAACTTTTTAATCCGCTCTGGTTCACCAACACATAATCAGCTGAGTTCCTTCAGCGGTGGGCAAACTAGTCCTAACAAACACTTTCATGATGAAATCTTCAGGAGGAACTCGTTCTGGGTCTGTTCACCTTTAAGGCCACGCCCCATCAACACGAGTGGCTGAACTCAGCTGCTTTTATCCTAAATCAGGAGCCTCCCGTCTCACAGGGATGCAGAAGAACCTGTTTTGTCCAGCGTGGTTGTTTGTGCTGTTCTCCGGTTTTACCCCCAAACCTTCTGCTGGTTTCTGGTCCAACCTGACTTCTCACTGTTTGTTTCATCTCCTCATCATGGACCGGTGGAGGTGAGAGGCCACCCTTCCTGAATCTGGTTCCTCCTGTTCCTTTCAGCAGTTTGTGCAACGAGCTCCTCGAGAGCCCCCGCCACCATGTTTACCTGCACAGAAACACCTGTTTGAGTCAGTGAATCGGGTGTGCTGGAGCAGGAAAACAACAAAAACATGCAGGGCCTGTGGGGGCAACAGCCCTGCTGTGGCTGCAGGGATGCATCAGCTACATCTGACAGACGAACACGCCCGTCTGTTCAGGAACAGCTGCTGCTGAGTCATCTTTGGGTCATCGATCCTGACGAGGAAACCATTACGGAGCTGCTGAAGCTCCTCTTCCCGCCACGTCCCAGAAATCAATCTAAACATTTGAGTCGGTTTTACTGCAGGAAAGAAAACAAACCTACTGATTTCTGCTCGCCTCGGATGAATACAGTCACTCACAGGAGACGGTGACACCATTAATATTTGTCTCATTTGTGCTAACTTTGTTTTTTTTGTGTCTTTTAAACAAAACATAAAAAATCTTCATGACGGAACGATAAAAATGTTTGTTTTTCAGTTACATGCATTTTTTTCACTCCTAAAATTTCAAACCGGAGGAGTGAACCAGACATTAAATTTAGGGTTTAGGGTTCAGATCTGATTGCTGAACAGGTAAAATCCCACCTGCTGACAACAGGTCTGGGAACGGCCTCAGTTCAGAGAAACCGAGATGAGCTTCAGGTGAGCTATGTGAGCGGTTCCAGGTCAAAAATGGGTTACGGTTATAAAAAACCTTAAAATGTTGCAGCAGTTATAGTTATTTACACAGACTCGACCGGGGTCGAGGACCTTAACGACAGACTAGTTATTTCTGCAACCTGAGGTCGTTCATCAGGTTATGAGCAACACGTAAGATAAAAATTATTCATTAAAAGTCTTTCAAACACAAAAATTCTTTCAACTATAGAATCAAATAACAGTTTCAGAGTGAAAAAACAAAGTTCAATAAAAAAACTGAAAAAGAGGATTTTAAGAGATCAGAAGGAATGAAAAGATGAAGCTCGTATTTCTAGACTCTCAGGTTGATTTCTGTCTAACAGGGCATCACTGAAGGACAACCGATTCCTGTTAGCCTCCCAGTTAAACCATTAGAGTCACACCTGGAGGGGTTAGCTCTGAGAATGTGTTAAACCCCCCGTAAAAGTCTTCAACCAGCTCAACAGGCCTGAATACCGAAGTAGCCACCATTCATCTCCTGCTCTTCAGACCTGCAGACTTTCAGTTTTTAAAGGTTTACAATTCTTAAAAAGTACAAAAAAGACACCAGAAATCTAATATTTTATTATTAAAATGACAAATTCCCAGAAAAAAACGAAATGAAATAAAGAGAGTGA